GAAAAATTCAAATATATATGAGCTTACTACAGCTGCCTCCTGTTATAATTAACCGGCCCCAAAAGGCCTACCTCTCTTCACTTAACTCTGAACCTAAGCAGAAAAGTTTGCCAGTCATTGCTTAAGTAACTACCTATGTCTCTGTAAAGATTCTGTATCTTTTGACAATGCAACCCATGACTCTAATAAACAACTGTCCAAATAGGACATAGACTAGGAACACAGACCAGACATACCACAAAACGATGGAAATGACATTTATATCACTTTGTGTTTAAATTTGCTTTCAATTCTGAAAATAGCAATTGTGTCCCTACTAATTGAACACTTAGGCTCCAGAACCTGAGATAAAAGATGCATAGTTAGTTCTTGTTGCGGTATCTTAAAGTGTACAGTTTGTAGCTATGATCAAAACCTGCAAAAATCCATCTGGCCCACTTAATAAAATGGAATTTTGCATTTGCTGTTTCCTCTCTCTGGAACGGTCTTCCCTCCAGTTCTCTGTATTGCTGATTCCTTTTCACCCTTCAAGCTCATCTCTTCAGAGAGGCTTTCCTAACCACCCCATGTAAAGTATCGCTTTTTAGTCCCTTTTATAAGCATTTTATTATTCTGTTCTTTTTTTTTTTCAAAGTAATTACCATAATTTGTAGTTATCTGGTAGTTAATTGCTCTTTCATTTATTATTTGTGTGCCTCATCCCATGAGAATGGACCAGAATCTTGTCAGTCTTATTTATTGCCACAGCCCCACCTCTGAAGCACATCATTCAATAAATAGTTTTGAAAGAAATTCTGTATAGCATTTAGAAATAAAGAGGAGGCACTTCTCACAGACTTTCAAAACCCTAAAAAAAAATCAGACCCTGGAGCTATTATAATCTGGCTTTCTTTTCTTACAAATCTAAAAAGAAACTGAGGCTCGGCAACTCTCCCGAGATTCACTGAAGATGGCAAGTTTGAGACAGAGCCAGTAATATTCTTCCATCACCCTGTCTCCCACTCCAGAGAGCTCTCCAAACCAAGCTGTTGTTTCTGCTAGTCTTACTTTATTATTCCTACAGGATGTATAAACAGTGCTGAGCACACGTGAAAACCAAATGTTTGCTTCTTTCCCCATACTGCCTTTTCGTTGTTGTTTTGCCAACTATCGTGGAAAAAAACACACAAGACATTGTATGTCATGCAAAGGAGTCTGACCTCAATGCCATGGGCAGAAGAGATGAGATTCCACTGTAGTCCAACCCTATTTCATGGGATGGCCTGGAAGCCTCAACTTTGCTGCTGACATGGCCAGAGCAACTGCCATATCTACTATATAAAGTGTGCTTTTAAACCAAGAGAAATGCTGTATACACAGACAATCTCACACATCCAAAAAACAAATTAATGTAGCCAATATACACTTTAGTAGCTAGGCCCATTTTCCTCAAAGAGGTCAAGTTTAAATTCAAGTGACCAAGAAAAAAAAATTCCCATGAAGAAAGAAGGATGACATATGCAAGTGTCATAATTGTCACAAGTCACAAATCCACTGAGGAACTACTAGACAAGATACGGTTTACTGATCTGGAATCAGACCTATTTATTAGTAAGCTTGACGGGAACAAGTATCTAAGCCACCATGTCTGATTAAACATTCCTCCTTATAAGAAACAGAGTGTCTTAACTTCTTTCTAAATTCCTGGAATATCTGGATAATTTGTGGTGCCTACGTCAAGGTACCCTCCAGGCAGCTGCACTCACTGCCCACAGTCCCCAGGCTTGATGTCGTGGCTCAAAATTCAACTGCTCAGGATCCATGGACAGATTACCAGGCCATTCTCTAACCCTCCAACACAGTGACTGACTCATCTTTTCTGAGCCAGGGCATTTTTATTCCTTTGAAGTTAGCTGTTCCTTCACATGTATTTGTCCATCTAGCCTATCATTCTTGAATGAAGCATGCTGGAGGGCCAAGACCATGTCGGTTAACATTAAGTCCCTGCACTGGTTGGTCTCTGTTTTGCAATTAAACTGGCCCAGAGTCTTGCTCCTGGACGTTACAATACCGATATGCAATTCCCAGTTTTGCAGACCATGTTTTACTGTGGTTAAGTTTCTTAATCATAAAAAATCAGGTCCCCAATCACTGGTGCCATGTAATGTGGCAAATCTGTGTGCGTGCGTTCGTGCCATAATGCTCTTAACTGTGTACTTTTTTAAAAAAAGAATATGAGATTAGCTTTTAAATTAAGCAAGATGATATTACTTCAAATAATACAAATACAGAAATGGATAGGTTAATAATCCTATTAGTTGCAAAGTTTAGAGTATTTACTCAAGCATGAGAAATGTTATTAGGATCCAGTGAATAACATTACAGTATTTTTAAAAACCTGTGCCAAATGTGAATCTAAAACAATACTGGGGAATAGGGAATTATTTTATCTATATCCAAGAAAAGGTGCTCTAGTTAGCTCCCAAAGACTTCTGATAAAAACTAAAGTAGATGTAGGTAATTGCAACCTTATGTACCCCAGATTTCCTTAAAAATCCATTTGGTTATATATTCCAAATAAGGTATAAAACTCAAATAACATACACAGTCAACACTGCATGGCTACAGTAGTCAGACATATTTTTAAGCAGTCAAAATGAAGCTATATGCTTAATGATTTGTAGTAAAATCGATGATATCCCTATCCTGAAACAAGAAGGCTTTTAAATATTTAATTGTCTTGTCCTTTATATAAATTAATAAAAATACAGGCCCTAAATAGTATTTAAAAATTTTTCTATTACTCTGAAAAGTCTTTCCACGTAAACATTATTTGTATGTGAGCTTCAAATGCACTAATTACTACAATTAAAACAAATTCATGGCTGGGCGTGGTGGCTCAGCCTATAATCCCAGCACTTTGGGAGGCTGAGGTGGGCAGATCACCTGATGTCAGGAGTTCGAGACCAGCCTGGCCAACATGGTGAAACCCTATCTCTACATAAAATACAAAAATTAGCCAGGTGTGGTGGCACGTGCCTGTAATCCCAGCTACTGGGGAGGCTGAGGCAGGAGAATGACTTGAACTTGGGAGGCAGAGGTTGCGGTGAACCGAGATTGCACCGCTACACTGCAGCCTGGGTGGCAGAGTGAGATTCATCTCAAAAACAAAACAAAACAAAACAAAAAAAAACAATTAATATTTCGTTTGAGCTCCTGAGAAGAGGAATTTAGACAGGCACATAAAAGAAGTTATTTGTAATTTAAATAGATATTTTAAGATAATTTTTTTTTTTTTGAGACGAGTCTTACCTTGTCACCCAGGCTGGAGTGCAGTGGCATGATCTCTGCTCACTGCAACCTCTGCCTCACAGGTTCAAGCTATTCTCCTGCCTCAGTCTCCTGAGTAGCTGGGCCTTCAGGCACGTGCCACCACACCTGGCTAATTTTTATATTTTTAGTAGAGACGGGCTTTCATTATGTTGGCCAGGATGGTCTTGACCTCATGATCTGCCCACCTCAGCCTCCCAAAATGCTGGGATTACAAGCATGAGCCACCATGCCTGGCCAAAGATAGTATTTTTTAATGAACACAATGTTGAACTCAGTAAATCATTCTGCTAAAGCAAAATTCTCCTTAATCTTTGTAGTAATATGTTACTCTGGAAATGCTTACTTTGCTGGACACCAAGCAGATGCTCAAAAAGTGTTAAAAAAAAATGACCTTCACGTAGCATGAGCTCACAGTTAGTTAGCTGAGGCTTTGATCTGAGCAAGAAAGTAACAGCATCATGCTACAGATACGTGAATTTAAATGAAGCCACATGTGGCTAACACAGAGTCCAGCTTCTTCAGAGTGCTCATTCTGTTGTTTGAGGAAGACAAACATGGTCAGCTTCATCAAAGATGCTAGGAGAAGGTGACCAGACAGATCTTCTAACACCTGTGTATGACATGTAGCAACAAAGGGTGGGTGTGCTTGGCATTTTCTCAGGTAAGAAAAATAATTTGAGTAATAAAAATCTGCCTCTCCCCTGAGCTACCAATTAATGCAGAGGCAAAAGGAAGCTCAACAGAAAATAAGGCCAATTTGGGAAATGTGAAGTGAACAGGCTGTTATTGTTGAAAAAATGTATTTTGAAATGTCTACCTTTTCCCATCGTTTACATCCTACAAATCACTTACCCAAAGCAGACTGTCAAGATTATAGATGCCTGCCTCAGAATTGTTTTGTAAATCTCTATATGATATCTTCTTCAAAAATAAATTCATCAACATAAATTAACGAGACTTTTCTTTTCTTGGTTTTCTGACATGGTGAATTTCAGAATAGACAGTGAATTAAATATTTTAATGAAAATAGGGAAACACAAACTTATTCCCATACTAGTACATAGAATACATAAAATATGAGGTACTCATATTCTTTATAAAAACTAGTAGTGAAAATTAATTTAACAAACGTAAACAAAGCATTTTAAATTTTTTCTTTTTCCTTTCTTTTTTTTTTTTTTTTTGAGATGGAGTCTCATTTTGTTACCAGGCTGGAGTGCAGTGACATGTTCTCGTCTCACTGCAACCTCCATCTCCCAGGTTCAAGAGATTCTCCTGCCTCAGCCTCCCAAGTAGCTGGAACCACGAGTGTGCACCTCCACACCCAGCTATATTTTGTATTTTTTTTTCAGTAGAGATGGGGTTTCACCATGTTGGGCAGGATGGTCTCGATCTCTTGACCTCGTGATCCGCCTGCCTTGGCCTCCCAAAGTGCTGGGATTACAGGTGTGAGCCACTGTGCCTGGCCTTAATTTTTTACAAAGATTATTTTGAAAACAGTTCAATAGCTTTTAAATTAATATGGAGAGTTAATAATACACATATAATTTTATATATGGATATATATATAAATATCCATATATTTTAAATATATATATTTAAAAATATATGTATACACACACACAAAATAATGACAAATAAGATCACTGTATAGTATTTAAATTCATATAAGTATGAAGTCTACATACCTGAGCCAACTTCTTTTTCCTCCTCTTCAATGTTGTTTTTGATGCTATCATATTCCTCATCAATGGTCTGGTTACCACGCATCTGAGATAAAATTCTACGGGCCTTCTGAGTCTGTCCTTTCTGAATAAGCCATCGAGGGCTTTCAGGCAAAAAGAGAAAGCCAAAAAACTGTATAACTGCTGGAATTGCTGCAAGTCCCAACATGTACCTGCAAGAAAAAAATCCACTTTTATTGTAAAACTTGCTCCTACTGACATGTGCTCACCCTATACTTTTGTGTTGTGTTAACAATGGTAATGTTTCATGTAAAGTTAGTCAGAATTATCTTCTTATTTGTGAGTTTCTTCGTGTGTCTGTGTGTCACTAGGAAAAAATATTTTTGTGCTATACTGAAAATTGAAAAATCTAATTATTCATTTGTGGAGAGATCGAGATCTCTCCACAAATTACATTGAAAATGAATGACCAAAAGTTACAATAATTATGTATACACATTCTAAACCAAACATATCAAGCAAATCATCATAATCACCATTCCTATGCATACTAACAGATAATTTTGTATTTTATAATATAAAATGGGGCTATGATAAAACTTCCTAAAAAGTGTGCTTAAAAGGCACACTTTTCATTAAAATAAGTTCCCGTTTGTTTCTTTATAGTTATTTCTGATTTGTGAATCATGAGTTATAATTTTGTTTTTACAATTTTCCTATCTCATTTTGCCATCAAGCATCCTGTTCATCATTATTAAGTGAGAAATGGGAGCCTACAGGAAAAAAAAAGATGGAGTCAGAAACCAAAAAAATCCTAATTAAAATGACGACAAATATAAAAATCTGCTCACATAGTTTTAACTTATCTGTTATCTCCTTTACATGTCTATTTTTTTTTTTTTTTGAGATGGAGTTTCGCTCTTGTTACCCAGGCTGGAGTGCAATGGCGCGATCTCGGCTCACCACAACCTCCGCCTCCTGGGTTCAGGCAATTCTCCTGCCTCAGCCTCCTAAGTAACTGGGATTACAGGCACGCGCCACAATGCCGAGCTAATTTTTTGTATTTTTAGTAGAGACGGGGTTTCACCATGTTGACCAGGATGGTCTTGATCTCTTGACCTCGTGATCCACCCGCCTCGGCCTCCCAAAGTGCTGGGATTACAGGCTTGAGCCACTGCACCCGGCCTACATGTCTATTCTTAATGGCTGGCAAAATTCTAAATAGCAAATAACAATGTAATTTTAACTCTATCCAAGGAATAACAAAAATAGTAATGAGTATATCAATATCAAAGATCTCTCCAAATTATCATGATCACCAGACTGATTTCCTAACATCTCTAAGGCCTCCATCTTTTTGAACCGATGGGGTTCAATTAGATAAACTTCAAGATTTCTTTCAAATGGAAACTTCCATGCATCCAGGATACCTGGATGTTTTATATTAATCCAACTTCTCTAGGTATGTTCCAGGGTAGATTCCTAACAATAGAGCTCAGCAGGCCAATTCTATTTCTATAACAAACCACGCTGATATGCGGAAGTCATGGAAAGTCACCTGGCTCAATATCTATCAAAGCTATTCTACCTTTTAAGCTATGCTACACTGAACATATAGAGTAGCCTTAAAGGCTTCAGAGATAAATCTCACAAAGTAAGTCTGCTATTTTCCATGCAATTTCATTTTAATTCTAAAACAAGTAGAAGAAAAATATAATCATCACATGGGTAGTAAGAATACCTCTTACTCCAAACTACAAACTAAAACTACACATGGAAACAGAAAAATTAACCAAGATTTAGAAAGTAAATAAACAATTTATGAATGACTGACTAAAGGAATCACTTGACCTGCAGTTTTAAATCTTATTAGAGGTGTCTTATGCTTTAAGCCATGGATTGTGATAATTACACCAACATTCCTACCTCTACTCACCCACAGAGCACACAGTTTTTAACCTTAATTTATGTCTCTGTATCTGGTATTATAATACATTACTTACCTATCCCAATCAATTGGTTAATGTTATTTAACTTTGTATTCAACATAGTATCTAATCATCTTGCACACAGTAGGCATTTAGTACATATTTTATAAAATAATACATAAGCATATCTAAACTTTCCCTATTAACCAGAAAATAACCATGCTTTGGATTTACATGACAATATTTTACGTGACAACTCTTCTGGGTCATTTATCTCTGCAAACTTACTTGCACAGTAATTCCTTCCCACCAAACTATTCATTATTCTAAATATAACTAGACCTTTTCTTCTGGAAAAGTCCTTGCATAAGAGCTACAGAGATCAGCTCACAAAAATATATACTTCTGACCTCTTCTCCTTCAGATGTTAACTGGTATAATTAAATCTCTTATTTAAATGTATGTTTTATTGCTGTAAATCAATAAAATTTCCATCTGAGCTGTGTCAAAGAAATGTTTATACTATATTACGAATTATTTAAAAGTGATTTTTTAAAGGTAGACCCTAAATATACTGGATTACAAAATAAATTTTGAAAGTCCTAAAGGTGAAAGTCTTTATGTTTCATTTATTTACCTATACCTCTCATGATCTTTCCAAAGAAAGATCATAAATTAAGATAGAAAAGCTGCAGATAATACTTCAAAAAGCACTGATATGAATGTAGAAACTGAATCATTTTAAGGTTCAAGATGCTCACATAATACTTTGCACTCTACCACTTGCTATTAAATCCCAGGATGCAGTATTTTTATAAGTTTTTTTTAAACAGAAAAAAAGAGAAGGGAAGAGAAGACAAAAAATAAAAGGAAAATATAGGCATATATATTAGCCTATGTTTCTTAAGTGAGCTACAGAAGACAGAATAAGCCTTCCCACCTTTTGAAATCTGTGCAAGAGTCTGGGTCCAAAATGTACAGTTCAGTTGCCCTCCACTAACATGGGGGAAAGGAATTTGTACCTGTTTCTAGTCTTTAAGAATATTAAAACTTCTTTCCAAAGATTAGTCAAGAAAAAAATGTTTTATGCATTTGTATTCTAATACTTCTAAAAGTAAAATGAGAAAGCTTTTTTTTATTATGTTTTATTTACCTTTCATGATGAAAATATTTTGACATGAATAATTTTCATGGCTTTGTAGAAATGCAATACACAAGATCAGAGGTAGCTGTGTTATATGTCTGAGAGGATACAGGAACAGATCTGGCTATCACTTCAGCTCTGGGCAGACAAACCATGAGAACCTGGTCAAGTTACTTAACATTTTACTTATTTATTTATTTATTTTTGAGATGGAGTTTTGCTCTGTTGCCCAGGCTGGAGTACAGTGGCACAATCTTGACTCACTGCAACCTGTGTCTCCCAGGTTCAAGCAATTCTCCCGCCTCATTCAGCCTCCTGAGTAGCTGGGACTATAGGTGTGCACCAACACACCCGGATAATTTTGTATTTTTAGTAGAGACAAGGTTTCACCATATTGGCCAGGCTGGTCTCGAACTTCTGACCTCATGATCTGTCCACCGAGGCCTCTCAAAGTGCTGGGATTACAGGTGTGAGCCACAGCACCTGGCCAAATAATTTAATATTTGAACACACAGGTGACAGTGTCTATTTCATAAGACTGCTGGGGGAATTAAGTGAAATCATTCAGCCAATACCAAGGCAGAGAGGATGCTCGGTAAAAAATGTTTCACCTCCCTGAACTCCTAACCACGCAATCAATTCATTGCAACTTGTTTGTTCTGGCTTTATCACCCAACTAAATTTTCAGCAGGTAGAACAAACCAATTTCTTGAGAAAACCAGTCAATCCTCTACTGACGTGCAGACTGGAGAATAGGAAGTAACTAAGAGGCTGTTTTTGCTGTGGTACTAACAAAAATTTCAACAGAAGACGAAAAGAGAAGGATTTTTAGAAACTAAACTAAGGCAGTAGCAGGACTATCAGTCGTTCTAAGTCCAAGAAAAGCAGCAATTAGATGAATGACAGAATATTGTGATACACTAGGGCAGGCAGTCCCCAGAAAAGCAAGTATTCTCCTATTGATACAGGAGATCTCATTATTCTAAATTAAGCCAGGGACTCTACACCTGGTTTCACATTAGAATCACCTAGGAAGCTGGTAAAACCCATCAGTTTCTAGCCCCACCCTCCCCCAGGGATTTTGATTAATTGGTCTGGGCTCTGGGCCCAGGGAGTTCTGTTTTATTAAAAGCTCTCCAGGTGGTGCTAATGTGCAGTTGGAGCTGAGAACCAAGGATCGAAATATTTTTAAATCCCAGGGAGTAAACATGGACAAGAAGCACCCAAGGTCCACACCTTACGGGAAACGCCATTTATCTTCTGCAGGCAAGTAGTGCACCTATGAACACAAAGTCAAGCAGAAATCCCAAGTTCTCATGAGCTCTAAAAATCTGTAGTATATTCTTTACCATCGTGATCACTCATCTAAAGATTTAAAATTTTCTAAACTTACGGTTGCGAAATAAACTATTTTCTGGCACAGCTAGCAGAACCAGCACCTGCCTACACATGCAGGTCATTTAAGGGGAGAAGAATGCTTCCAAATGACAAGGTTAGGCCAGCTATCCACCAATTTCGCCCCGGGTGAAGCCTTCTCAGTTTCAGAGACTGAAGCTCTGTGAATCATGCATCCTGCATTCCCGGGCCAGACCTCCTTCTACGGCTCAGCTGAGCAAGCCTGCTATCTCTTCCATTAGATGGCCGGGGGCTCACAACAAACCAAACAGGTCCTTCACTGTACATTCCTGTTTTAAAACAATCCTGTTGCTCTCACCTATGTAACTAAAGACAAGAATCCTCTAACTTCTGCTACCTTAAGTCACAAAATTTTGCACTTCATGATCATTGACCTTGTCTCTGAACTAATAAAATGAGTTAGCATGTTATCTCCTCTTCAGTAGTTCCAGAGATGTGCTGATTATGTTCCCATAGTGTGAAAATCTAGTTGAATGCACAAACTCAGCATAGACATATAATTATTTACTAACAACAGTAATAGCAATAGTAATAGCTACTGTGTACCACCAGTTACTGTGTGCCAAGCACTGCTCAGAAGAATTAAGAAACATTAACTCCTATGATTTTACAACGACCCTATGAGGTGAGTGCCATTATTATCCCCACTTTATAGACAAAGAAATGAGGCACAAAGAAGATACATGGTTAGTATGGAATAGAACTACAGTTAAAATCCAGGCAG